TATTATCATTATTATTATTTTTAAACACGCCTCCTTTACTTGCACATGTCATCTCGATTTCGGGCGTGAACTGTCAAAGTTAAAACAGACAAGTTTCAACCTGCTGTTGTTGTGGCATTCACGCTGCGTGTGTGTGTGTGTACGTGCACGCACCAACATTTGCCAAGTCGTGCCTGCCAGTGCGCGGTCTTTTCTCTCTCTGTCTCCCTCCCTGTCTCCCTCCCCGGGGCCTGCAGCATTAAGTGCCTCCTGTTCGCCGTGTGCACTTGTGTGTCTTCCTCTCTCGCTAATTAAAGCATGGCACCCGCAGGTGAGGACGAGCCGGAGGATGCTGTGTCCGACGTGGACGAGGTACCCAAGTCCAAGAAGAAAAAGAAAGCCAAGAAGAGCAGCCGAGAGAGCAGGAGCAGCAAGAGGCAGAGACCCATCAGAGAGGTTGGTCTCATGCTTGTTTTTGGCCAAACTTTTAATGCTTAGAATTAAATGAGTCAAATGTCAGGGAACACCATGTATTCATGAGATTTCTTCCAATTGTCAGCTCTTATTGCCTAATAACAATAACAAGGGACCCCTGTGAGTCACTGAGCTCAGTTTAGGACCCACAGATCAACAGGACATTCACAAATCACCCCAAATTATATTCAAAAAGCTTGTTTTTTCTTAAGCCAGTCCCATCATAAACCCAAAGGTATTCAGATTATAATGATATAATATGATTTAGTCGAGCAACAGAAAATCTATTGTGAACTAATTTGATCATTTTAATACTTTTTAAATGTCAAATTCCCCTGAATTCAGCCTCTGAAATGTAATTTATTTCTTGTTTTCATAGTCTGCAGTAACAGTAAACTGTATTTAACAATGATATTAAACATGAATTGATTATTATTATTATTATTACTCATTTCCTGTCAACCATTAGATTTAGGGACTGATTAGTGGTAAACCATGTACCAATGTAGCTCCATGGATGACTTCCCCATCCGAATAGGGTGGCATTATTATCAGTAGAAATCAACTAAAAAGGATGACACTTTCATTTGTAATGTATATGTTATAACCACCAGTGTCTTCTGTAATTTGCAAAGTGGCTCTACGTCTTCTTGCAGGAGTTGCCTGTCAGCTCCCCAGAGCACCTGATCGGAGTAGAAGCAGCAGAGAGGGATGCAGACGAGGGAGGTGTGCGGTCAGAGAGCGAAGGAAGTGATTATGCCCCCGGGAAGAAAAAGAAGAAACGCTCCAGCTCAGCCAAAGATAAGAAGAAAGGAGGTGCGGCAGCAGAGAAGGGAGGTTCATCCGGCTCAAAGAGCAAACGCAAAGAACCAGAACCAGAAGATGATGAGGATGATGACGACGATTGCCAGGTAAAGATTCATTCAGACTGCAGGCTGCAGAGTGGATGGTAAATTCCTTACAGCTAATATGACAACCTAACCTCCCACTGGGTGTTTGTTTTCTTCCTGCCTCAGCCTAAAAGCTCCACCCAGCTGCTGGAGGCCTGGGGCATGAAAGACATTGACCACGTCTTTACTCAGGAAGACTACAGCTCCCTCACTAACTACAAGGCCTTCAGCCAGTTCGTTAGGTGAGGAAAACCCTTTTATATTAACAGTATATATTATTGTTTTATTTAGGAAATATATATGTATGAAAATATACATAATCATGTTTCTTGTAAATGTCCTTAGGCCTTTAATTGCAGCTAAGAACCCCAAAATAGCAGTGTCCAAGATGATGACTTTAATGATGGCTAAATGGAGAGAATTCAGCACCAACAACCCTCTGAAGGTATTGCAATTACGAACAAGGATGGACGTCTGACTTATAATGAATGAGACTTGTCATTCATAACTGCTGTCCTCTTGTGAGTTTGATGGTAGAGAGCAGAGTTTCTCACTCTCTGCTCTGTCCCCTTGTAGGGTTGCGCCACTGCCAATGCAGCCCTGGCAGCTGCCAATGTGGCTGCAGCTGTGGAGAACATGGTGGTGGCAGGGACAGACGGAGGGGCAGAGTCCGGTACTGCCACTTCACCCACACCTGCTCCTGCTGCTGCTCCGACACCTGCTGCACCGCCGGCAGCCCCAGCACCTCCCCTCCGCAAGGCCAAAACCAAAGAGGGCAAAGGTACAGTTGGATAAACGTAGAACTATAAAATAATTTGTTTATTATATGAAAGTCTTCTATTTTAATATTTATCTAACTGCTTAAATTGTTTTCTTGATTAAAATTGAATCTCTGTGTCTTCTCAGGTCCCAATGCTCGCAAGAAGTCGAAGCCCGCGCCTAAACCCCCGCCGAAACCTAAACCTAAGAAGGTTGCTCCACTCAAGATCAAACTGGGGGGCCTCAACAGCAAAAGGAAGCGCTCCTCTGTAAGATGCTTTTTCTGCCGCCCTATTTTTCTCTTTACTTTTGAGAATGAAACAATCCTTAAATCAGAATATTGTTAATATACTATAATGTAACTGGGTATGTCTTTCGTTTCTCAATGTCCTCACTGTTTCTCTGTCAGAGTGATGAAGATGAACCCGAAGTTGACAGTGACTTTGACGACGGGGGTTTCTCTGTGTCAGATGGCTCCAACCGCAGCAGCCGCCCCAAGAAGAAACCCAAGAGTGCCAAGAAAAAGAAGAAAGGTTGGCATGGGAGTATTACTGAAATAAAAAGTCTGTTCTGTTAGCAGTGCATCAGTGCTGGATAAAGATTTAAGAACAGACGACAGCTTAATGCAGGAGGTTTTGTTTTGTCGAATAAGATCAAAGTCAAGGCCAAAATAGAGGCCATGTCCCGGTCACTGAATCTAATTTTCTCTCTGCTATCAGTGGAGACGGAGGACGGCGATGGCTACGAGACAGACCACCAGGACTACTGTGAGGTGTGCCAGCAGGGAGGAGAGATAATTTTGTGTGACACCTGTCCCCGAGCCTATCACATGGTCTGTCTGGACCCTGACATGGAGAAAGCACCTGAGGGCAAGTGGAGCTGCCCACACTGTGTGAGTATCGTTAGCCCACCTCTCAGTGCTGTGCAGAGAAGGCCATTATGTTGTTTGTTATAAAAGATTGGGCCTGATTCCTGGAGTATGAAACAGCTGGGCAGAAATTACACCTGTCCGTAAAATACTGCTGAAGTGTATTACTGGAAAGTTGCACTGACGGGAGTTTGATTGTTGGGAAATGGACTTTGTAAATGGTGTTTTTAACAAATCTTCATGTTCTCTTTGTCCTCTGCTGCCCCCCCCCCCAACCTTTTTGCTCATGTTCTGATCTATCTTCTCCTGTTCCCCACCGCACGCCCCCCCCCATTTCCTCTTCTTGTCCCTCCCTTCCTCCACTATTGCTCCACACGCAAACATGCACACGCACGCAATGCACCCCCACCCA